CTGATATGTTTATCTTGGTAAAAATCTGCACATCCTTTTGTGCAGTAGCAATACCAACCTCATGCATCTCACTAAATGCTTAACAAATCTTTACCATTTAAATAGTGGTGACAAGTTGTTCATATGATGATTTATTTATGATCATGATCATGCATCCCTACTAATGTATTGCTCACCTTATGCTGTAAATCTCACTGCAGCTGCTGATTTAGGTCAGTTGACCAGATTGGATGTCTTAAAGTGAAACTCCTCATAATAAACCGGGGAGCCACTGGTAGAGAGAGTGTGGTGAGTTTGTGTTATGGGTGCAGTTATTACTGACCATCGCCTCGAGCTAAGACAAGCTGGCTGCAAATATGGAACAGCGCCCTTGATATAACAGAGAATAAGAGAGTAAGTTGTAGGAATTGTTATGTCAATTTGACCTCAGCTTAAACTGTCAAGGCAATGTAATGCTAATCACAAGAATTGGCCATGGTGTATTTAACAAGTACATACAGCCAGCAGTGTTCTTCCTCTATTGAAGGCAATTGGACGGTGGTAGAAGAGTACACCAATAAGTAGAAGATTTTTTAAAAGATTATGTTCTTTGCTTGTTGTCTCCTATTTTTGTTATGATTTGGCAAATAAATCACATGCATGTCCAAGATACTGTCTGTTATGTCAAAAGGTAAATAATATAATACGTACACATAACATGATGAACGTAACAATAACAGTTTTTTAAAACTCAACTGATGAGCTCCCATGAATCCAGTCCTACATTTTTCTCCTTTCATTACCTGTCAGCCAATAGCTCCTTGCATTGTTAATGCAAGTGAACATTGATTAAGCTTCCTACTTTTACAACACATTACTTTCTTCTCCTCCATATGGCACCAAGCTGTATGTCATATTTGATGTAGGTGTGCAGAGACTGCATTAATTGTGCTCTGTGTTATGTTTCAGGAAGGCTGTTATATCTAATGACGATCAACTTTATTCATGTTTGTCATGATCCTGTCTGTGTGTCTTGTTGGGGAGTCTGGGTTTTAGTTCTATATATTTGTTATTAGTCCTGGTCCTTAGTTCATGTTTTAGTATTCGCTTCTAGTTCTTGTTTACTTTATTTTGGTTTAGTCTACTCTGTACTCTGTGTTCTAGTTCTGTGTTTTGGTACTTTGTAACGTGTTCTGTCTGTTTCCCCAGTTCTCTCTCTGCCTGCCTCATTAGCCTTGTGTTACAGTGTTTGCAGTGTTTTTGTGGTGTGAAGAAGCTCTGTTGGTTTTGGATATCTGCCTGAAACTTTGTCAACCTGCATTTTGGATTTTGTGTTTTCCCTTGCCCTTGTGGATTCTTCTTTGAACTCAGCCACTGCTTGTAAGTGCGCTCACCTTTGGTTTGGTTAAATAAATCTTTGAACTATACCTGCAAGCCGTGTGTCCTGCATTTGTGCCAAGCCTGACCCCCGGCCTGCTGGCACTGAGCTTCGGTCTGCAAGCACCCCTGCGGCTAGTCCCCTGCCTGATTCCCGGCCTGCGGGCTGCACGCTGGGAAGCCTCCACCTGTCCTGCTCGGCTAGCGCTGCTAGTCCTCCGCCTGATATGCCAGTCCCCAGCTCGGCTAGCGCTGCTAGTCCTCCGCCTGATATGCCAGTCCCCAGCTCGGCTAGCGCTGCTAGTCCTCCGCCTGATCGGCCAGTCTCCAGCCCGGCTAGCGCTGCTAGTCCTCAGCCTGTTCCCAGTGCGGCTAGCTCCAGGCCGTCTGTTCCCTGGCCTGCTAACCCCCAGAGGACTTGTTCCCGGCCTGCTAGCTGCAGGGTGGGAGGCTTCTTCCTCTCCCGGCCTGCTGGCGCCCGGCCTGCTGGTCGCTCGCCTGATTCCCGCCTGGTTATCCCCCTCCTGTGTTGGCTCCAGCATCCAGACTGGTTGGGAACTCCTGAACATCTAGCTCTCTGGTCTCCTTTTTGATGGACTTGGCATTAGAGCCAGAGAGCCCAAGGACTGCTGGTCCCCAACCAGTCCGCCAAGCAGCTAGCTGTCAGCCAGCTAACCCCGTGCCTGCCCTGCCTGATTACTGGCCAGCTAGCGCTGCTAGCCTCCTGCCTGCCCACCTGTCTGATCCAAGGCCTGCTAGCGCTATTAGCAGCCTTCCTGATCTCCAGCTGACTCCTGTTCCCTCGTCGGTGTACCGACCGGCACCAGCTTGGCAGGTGGTCCGATCGGAACCAGTCCCTCCAGTGTTCCAACCAACTCCTGCTCCCTGTGCTCAGTCCTCGGACCTCATCCCAGCTGTCTCACCGGTGGTCATCAGCCCAGACGCTCAGTCCGTGGACCTCAGGCTAGCAGCTCAGCTCATGGACCTCAGCCCAGCCATCCTGCCGGTGGACCTCAGTCCGGCTATCCATTCGTCGGCCCTCAGTCCAGCTCTGCTACTTGAGGTTCCAGGCCTCCTACGCCGGCCTCTTGCTTGTCCTCCGGAGAGGTCACGTCTCCGCCGCCGACCTACAGGGAGATCACGTCTCCGCTGCCGGTCTCCAGTTCATCCTCCGAAGAGGTCTCGCCTTTTTTGGTCACCTGTCTGGCCTCAGGTGAGCCCCTGTTCTCTCTGTCGTCCTCCAGCACGACCTCCTGAACTCAGTTTCCTGCCTGATCTTGCTCGGTCGACCTTCGGGTCAGCCTCCCAAACTGTTTTGCCCCCTAGATCTGCCCGGCCTGTTGGGTGGTCCCCCGGGACGACCGCCTGAACTGTTTGGGCCCGGTTCTCCCTCGGGCCGCCCACCTGAGCCCTTCTGGTTCCCCTTTGCCCTGCCCTCAGGCCACCTGCCTGAGATGGCTGGTTCCTCTCTGTCCCAGACCGCCTGCTTTTGCCCCTGCTACTCTGGACTGTCTGTTTTGTTTTTTTGTACCCATGGACTCAGTGGACATCCATTGGGGGAGGGGTACTATCATGATCATGTCTGTGTGTCTTGTTGGGGAGTCTGGGTTTTAGTTCTATATCTTTGTTCTTAGTCCTGGTCCTTAGTTCATGTTTTAGTATTTGCTTCTAGTTCTTGTTTACTTTATTTTGGTTTAGTCTACTCTGTACTCTGTGTTCTAGTTCTGTGTTCTGGTACTTTGTAACGTGTTCTGTCTGTTTCCCCAATTCTTTCTCTGCCTGCCTCGTTAGCCTTATGTCGCTCACCTGTGTTGCTTCCGCCCTGCTCGTTAGACCCTGGTGTTTCTGTCTTGTTTTTTGTTGGGTCATTAGCTTGTGTTACAGTGTTTGTAGTGTTTTCGTGGTGTGAAGAAGCGCTGTCGGTTTTGGATATCTCAGCCACTACTTGTAAGTGCGCTTGCCTTTGGTTTGTTTAAATAAATCTTTGAACTATACCTGCCAGCCGTCTGTCCTGCATTTGGGTCCTCCAACCTGCCTCTCCACACACTAACTGTGACAATGTTGTTCAATTTAAAGAAGATGTACAGTAGGTTGGCTGTTGAAGATCACATCAAGAAATATTGAGCAGTCTTTAGAATATCATAACTGGTCTCAGTGAAATTGGATGATTGGGAATGACATAAGAGCTTCCATTTGTTTTTTTTGTTAATTAAAATTCTGTATGTATTTTGTGACTTAAAGGTATAGATGTCAGTGACCTCTTTAACATTTAGCATAGTCAGAATAGCTAAGATTTATTTGATAACAATATTGGTTAGTGAGCTGGACTGAATATTATAAATGAGATTATTGCCACACTTTACAGTTAGACTGCAGTAAGTAACATTACTGTAGTGAATGGGTCTTCCATGGTGTTGTCCTGCGCTGCTATGTTGCATTATTGTATATTATGTGGGTCACATCAGTTACAGCAACTGAGACCAGTGAAGAAGCTGTGTACCTGAGTATTGGTAAAACCACAATAAATCTAAATTGAATATTATGAAGCAAACAACGCCCAATCCATGATAATGTATTGGGCTACAGCTGCCTTGCATCATTATAGGCTTGTGTAAACAAATCGTACACATTTGCTTTGTGCGGTCACATCCTTTCTTGGAGGCTAAAATCAACACTTTGACATAATACTGTTGGTACACAGGGTAGTAATATGGGTTGCATTAGCTGGTGAAGTAATGTGCTAAGCAATAACCTTACAAATATAGTGTTTTGCATTTTTATGTAAGGTTAAAACCCATTCACAAATGGGCAATAAAAACATTACTTGGTAAGTGATTTAGTGGTATTGGTCTGTAGCTTTCCGTGTGATGTTGTAGGGGCATATCTGAACAATATTAGATTAGCTTTGTGTACAAAGCAACTAATGTTCAATATGTGAACCATTTACATTCATTTGTAATTGATCTGATTGCATTAACAGTTGGGTTTTTTTGTTTTTTTTAATCCCAATGTTTGGTTACATGCACCAAGTCAATACATTGGCTCTGTAACCTTCGAGGATTTCCCCACTTTCCTCACATGGCCTCACGCATTGCATACCATATGACCGATTCAAGCAGTAAGTCATCAGGAAGCTGTCTGGACTAACGGCAACAGGTCGCATTGTTTAGCATTTAAATAACTCCCTATCCCTCTTTCTCCTCCAGGAGGAAATTTTGCACTGCCAGGCGCATCTTAGCATCCTAGCATACCGTGTTGTTTTCCAGGTTTGAGCTGTGCTTGGCTGACTGAGTCCAGGACAGCTGTGAGTGAGGGCCATTCACTGCTCTGTCAGGGGTGGAGATGGAGGCACTGAACTGAGGCCAGCCATCCTGTGCTACTCCTACATGTCACCTTTTCTCTGTGTAATGGGTTCCTGTGTGGAAGACAGCTTGGAGTGAAAAGGAGAAATATGTTATTTCCCCCCCGTGTGTTTAGAAATACTGACAAATTCTCAGGTAAATAAAAGTCCTCTATTATATTACAGAAAGCTCAAGGTCTTACCATAGAGTAGATTATGTAAACTCCCTTGTGTGGATTACATAAGAAACACTGATTGTGACATCATGTGACCCCCCCCCCCTTCAGAAGAAGGAAAACAAGATTCTCTGAACCATAAAATGTTTTCATAAAATGTGTCCTTTAAAGCTCGAGTAGTAGCTGGGTGTGACAAATGCTGAATTGATCAGAAATGATTGAGTGCTTCAGACATTTCAATTGATATGCTTTTGCTTGGAATGCAGCACAAAGCCCTTATTGTGTTTAATATTCATTCGTTCAAATGTCACTTCTCTTGAGCCACGGCGACGATCTTGTCAAACATCTCATGAGTCTCTCACTGGGAAATGTGTCACCACTTGTTGATTTGTCCACACTGCATCTTTAGAAGCATAACGTTCACTTAAAATGTGAGTAGAGTATGAGAGTAGGCAGAATGAAAGGATATCATGTATGATCTACAAACCCCATGGTGCCATGGTAACTAAGAAGTGAAGAGGTGAGTTGTGAACAGGAACATGGTGAAAGGTTGTTTTTTTTTTTTTTTTCCCCTTCTGCAGCTGCTATTGTAAGATGTTTCTCAGAGCACATTCACTTATAAAACCATTTTCTTGGCAGGGTTGTTCATTCACACCATGATTATTTTCCTTCTTATTATTTCTTTCCCCTGGTTTGAAATCGAAGCCACTTAATGTTAACAGAGGCGGGAATCCACTCCTAAGAAGAGAGCATGTTCTGCAGTATTTCTTTGACTTTGGTCTGTTTAATGTAGACCTAGAAATAACAAACATTTATTCATGTAGGAGCCAAATTCTGGAGTCAGTGACATGCTGACAGTGAATTGGACATCAGCTTTGCAAAGAGGCACGTGGACTTTTCATGCAATAAAATAAGTCTCATTTAGATTGTGAAACAAACCTCCTCTGACGAGTGAAACTGGGTGTGCAGACATACAGGGAGTCTGAGGTTGGTTTCTGTGCATTTTATGAAATGTATATCTACCGTAGATACCGCGAGCGGCAGACTGCACAAGCACAGGCTGGTTTGCGAGAGAAGAGTGGCAGGATTTCCTGTGTAATAAAAACACTTGTCTACGGGGAGTCTGACTGCTGAAGTCTGCTGTCCTGACATTTGTATTCTCAATCCTAAAAGGACAGGGATGCCCATCTTATTTGACCATGGCTCATATTTATTGTGTTACAGCTGTTGTTTCGCTTTTATCAAGGGGCCCAGTATTTCTACTGGCACCACAGATTAGAAATCACTTGTGCTTCTGTAGTTTAAAGTTGCCAAAGGGGTGTGAAACACATCCTGCATAAGCTGGCACTCTATCCTAGAAGTCTTGTGTACATACAAAGACGCTTGTGTGCATAATTCCACATTTCTCTGTGTTCCTTTTTATTTTTTTGGCTTCTATCAGACAAGTAGTAATTCAAAATGTGTCTGATACAGTAGAAAACTGAAAATAATAAAAACAGTTTCATCTGTAGGTTGCCTGTTTCCACGCAGCAGCGTCCATTTTGGATCTTCTTACCCCGAGGCCGACCATGCTGCCTCTCACTACATGGGATCTTGTGTCCTCTTCACCTTCTCAATAATTCAATGGAAAGAGGAGACGTCAGCTCTGGTATAATTACGGTGTGAGGGTGACAAGCTCCTCTGTCAAGGGCAAGATGGGACCAAGCTTTACAGTACTGGAGAGAGCTAAAAGACACAACAGCAGTGTTATATACCGTGACACTGTCGATGACAAAAGCTTCAGCTACAGGGAGATGATGAAACTGCAGGTAATTTGGGGGGAAAACATTGTGACAACATTAGCTTTTTTTTGTGTTTTTGTTAGAACTCAACTCAGTGCCTAAGCATTGCAAACCTGGAAAAAAAGGACAGTCATTAGACACAGGTGCAACAGTTAAGCTGTAACATGTCTCTTGTTCTGCAAGTTCTCAGTGGTCAAGCAGCAACACGATCCATCACTGTTAGGCAGAGAGGTGTGTGAGATCTGATTTCAGCTCTGGGCCTAGCTGAGGTGACAGATCCTGTTAATATAACACCAGCCAAACCCCAAACTTCCTGCTTGCAGAAAGCCTCGGCATAAGCATACCTGCCAAGATATGACTAAAACTGTTACTGTCACCGAGGCCTAAATCCTGGCATGGGCAAAGGCTTGGCACAGAGCCCCCAGTTAAAATGAGCTAGACAAAGTAGGCAGTCATTAGAAGTAGATGTTTTGACACGCTGTCTCCCACGGGTACCCAGGAAAGGGTCTGGACCAAAATGCATCAAGTCTCCCAGTGCAGGAGTGTCTCATTCATGCTGATGCAAAAGGCTGAGCTAATCCAAGATCGCCACTGATGATGAAACTCTTCTTATGTGTCTGAAACCACACAAAACGGTCTAAGAATCCCAGGCAAATCAGGGATTTCGTTATAATCCCATCAAAATATTAAAGAAATATTTTATTGCTTTTCAGCCTCTGCCTTTTAAAATTCATTATAAATAAATGAAAAAGAAATATCATTAATGAAACAAGACTAAGTCTGAGTCTACAGCCATGCTAGCGTCTTCTGTGAGGCTGTATTTAGACACAGTGGTGCTTTGAGCTAGTTGCTAACATCAACATGCTGATGTTTAGCAGGTATGTTGTTTACCTTGTTCGTCATTTTAGTTTAGTTTGTTAGCATGCTATCATTTGCTAATTACCACTGTATACAGAGTAGCTGAGGCAAATGAGAATGCCATTTGTTTTCCATATATTTGGTAATAAAGTGTTGAAATTTTGGCTAGCGGATGGCAGTAGAGGTAAAGTCAGGGGACCATCAAAGCCATTAGGGTTTGTCCTATGGGCACCATGGAAATGTGCTAAATTTAATGGCAACCCATCCAAAATTTGTGTCTGTCTACATGCTGGTGGCGCAAGAGGAACATACTGATGAGACCTGGCCCGGCAAGGGTCTGGGGACCATGAACGTACAAAAATCCATGACAATCCATCCAGTAGTCAATATCTGTGGTCATACAGCTTCCTTTATCCTGCTGACATCTTGCACTTTTAACAGTATCACTATTTTGGAACTCAATAGGAACTCAGCAAATATCAAACAACACTGCTGCATGTGGTAAGTATTTTCTGATATGGTGTGGGAGGATAGCAATATGAATATTTTTTAAACCATATGCTATAATATTCTTTCAAGCCCACACACTGAGCAGGATTGCGGTTTAAAGTTAGCTAAATTCTTAAAGGACATCTACAAAAGCAGCTGTAAGTTGTACATCTAGAAACATCAAAGCTCCACTGCCTTCACTTCTCTTTCTCCTTCCCTCCTTATTGTCTTCCAACTCAAAAGTCTGCCTGGTGTTTGCCGGTGTACCTACCATGCACACCCCAAGGAACACACATCACAGGCCGGCAAATAAAGGCTACATCAAGTGTTTGACGGCAGCAGAGACGACACAAAGAGGCTGTTTGTTGCTAATTAGGTTTTCCCTCGCTTCACCTAGATGTTAATCATGATTGTGCTCTACAAAAATGTCCGTACCAAATATCCAGGTACCTTCTTTCAAGTTCCCTAAAATAAGTGGGCAGAGGGCGGGGAAAGCAGAGTCGCTTAGCATAAAGTAGTCAACTGTCAGCATGCCTGACTCAGCACGCAGAAAATTAATAGTGTTATGTTTGAAATGCGCTGCCTTATGAGGTGCGCTTTCTGTTTATAATCATGTTGCTCCATTCATGTATTATCAAAGTCATAATTGCTTTTGATAGCAATTATATAATCATAAAACTTCTGCCGCTAATTGACTCAGGAAAGCTTCATGACATGGCAAACTTCAGTTTTCCACTGCAGTTACACAACCTAGCTTTTGATTATAAAGATCTTAGTTCTTAAATTTACACGAGACCTCCAGCAAATGTTTCAACACTTAATGAAGTCACACATTTGCTTTTTTTATGGTGGTCCCACTCTCCTGCCATGTTCATAATTAGAGGAATCAGTCTTCAGGCTTACCGCTTATTCAGAGTGATCCAAACCGTTGATTTTGAGATTTGTGAGCACCTTATAATGATTCACAAGCAATTGCAAATGATTATCTTACCAGTCCTTTTTTGCCCCTCTATGACAGATTGCAGCCCAGAGGAAAACATTCAGCAGCTGAGGAGCTCCAGCGCAGACAGGTGATTCGCTTCTAATGGATGTTAATGTGGTGGACACAACTGAGGATATTCCCAGTGGTATACACTTACAGTTAATTGATAATTGAGGTCTATGAAAAGATGCACATTAAATCATGGCAAACGAGCCTGCCTATAAGGTTGCAGCAATTTAAAGAACAAGTCTCCAGAGTCTCTTAAGGTTTCCCACAACTGAAATGCACTCTGAATGAATAATTGAGGCCCAAATATTGTTAACTTGTATTACCTTACGTAAGGCATTGCTATTTCAAACATGTAGCATATGCATAATGTTATTTTGCATAAACACTTTCACCTCCGCCAACTCCAGGTTGCTCAGTCCTGTAATGACTTTCTTGATGTCTCTTTATGTTGCTGTTTGATCAGTACCTTTCCTAATGAGCCCATGTGTTGAGATGTGACTCTGATTGGCTTGAATTTAATGTTTTGCCACATTTAACATTAATAATCTGCAACGTATTTTGCTGCCCTTTGCTACTAACTGATACTATACTAGAAACATTTATCCTACAGTAAGTGCAGTTCATGAAGGATTTAGAATTTTCCACATGCATTCCATGTTTATAGGTACAAATGATGTTTGTTTATATTGGCCAGCATGTTTAAAACATGCGCCGACTACTACAGTGCTATCATCATGTATAATGCTTTTTTTAGCTATCAGTTGGCCGGGGCACAATAGTTGAGATCATTATATTGATATGGCTATTTCTTCAAAATTAATCGTATCATAATGCAAATGTATGACAAATCACAAATAAAATAAACTGATGTTCACATGAACTGTGTTCCACTCTTTCATTACATAAGACAAAACTTTCATGTACATGTTCAAAGCAAACACATTAAGCTTGGAATTGTTCATTTTAACAAAATAAATGTATAAAATATGTTATGCTATACAATATGATCATCATGATTGTACTGAAGGTTGATAAATGATGATTCTGAGTAATACCTACATATAATATTTCGAGGTCACGTCTATTTATAGAGCACATTTAAAAATAACAAAAGGGGGCTTTACAGAGAGATTAAATCAAACACCAACATAAAAAAAAGGATGTAAGTAAATTAATAAAGGATTGGATAGCTTGATAAAATCACAACAAAAACAGCAGTGTACATCAACAAAATAGAATATAAACAAATAAAAACCAGAGCAGTCAAGCATGTCTTCATCATAACAATTAAGAGGCTAAAGAAAAGATATGGGTCTTTAGACAGGCTTTAAAAGTATCAATGGAGGGGGGCGATCTAATTGTTAGTGGCAAACTATTCTACAATTTAGAGCCAATAACTGAAAATGTTCATTCACCTCTGGTTTTTAACTGGGTGTGTGAAATGGACAGCAGTTATTGTTCAACAGATCTGAGGGTTGTGGGGTGGATCAGGGGGTAAGTAGTTCTGAGATGTAACCTGGTGCCAGTCCATGCAGTGCTCTATAACTAAATAAAATAATCCTAAAATCAATTCTGCACTTCTCTGGTAACAAGTGAGGCCAGTGTGGGGAGATAACATCTCTCTTTCTGGTACTGGCGAGGAGTCCTGCTGCTGAATTTTGAACCAGCTGCAGGCGAGATAGGGCTGACTATCCTACATACAGAGAATTACAGTAGTCGACAAGAGAGGATGAAAAAGTCTCTAAATGTTTTAATTTTGCAGGTGATCTAACATGGTAGAAGCAAGTGCTGACAACTAAATTGATTTATCAAATTTGAAACTATAATCATAGAAAACACCAACATTCTTTGAGAGGGTATTTACATTTTGAAGACAGAGGCCCAAGGGGATTGATTGTGGCTGTGGAATCTGATGGGCCCAAGATTAGGACCTGCCATCCAATTCAAAACGCAATTTAAGGCACAGCTGTGTGTTGTCGGCATAACAATTATGTGAAGATATTATATCTGAAAATAGATCCCAAAGGAAGCGTATATGTGGAAAATAAAATTAGGCCTGATTTGGAGCCTTGTGGTACTCCACAGGAGATGGGTGCAGAGGAAGAGGACACATTATCAATTCTGACAGAGGCTGGAGGAGCCTGGAGGGGTCCTGGAGGTATGAGGCAAATCACTAAAGGGCCTGTACCTGAATGCTAACAACATGCTTAATGCGGTCCAAGAGCATGGAGTGACTGCCTGTGTCGAAGGCAGCTGAGAGATCGAAAATATATATATCATAATGTGTATATTAAAATGCCATTGCCAGTCTAATTTCCTGAATCTAAAGACAAGAACAGATCATTTGTCACCCTAAGTGGTGCTGTGGTGTGGTCCAAGGAGGAGATAACTTGAGAGAAAACTGCTTTTTCAAGGATTTTGTATGACATATACATTATGACTGGACTATACATCTAAGGTTTAGTGAGACACAGGAAGAAGAACTCCAATGTCAAAAACATCTGGTTGTTATATTGGGAATACATCTTAGTTTAGATTTACCAGCAAAGGCTGCTACACATGCAGCTTTTTTGACTTTATATTTATATTATATTGTTTGGAGAATATCCCATGACCAGCTTGCCACTATTAGAACAACAAAACAAGGAATTGTGGAACCTTGAGCTCCATATTTACTTCCATACTTACAAATGTTTGTCTTTGTTGGAGACATGTTCATACCTTTAAAATACAAACATTGCACAAAGTGACAATTTGGTACTATAAACAACAGACCCATCAAATGACTGGTCTGTCATCCTGGAGGACATTGTTTCCTTAGTAAATCAGTATGTTAAGTCAGTACCTGTACAGTGAAATAAAACACCAAACAAATGCTGGGAATCATCTTGTCACAGAAATCAAGAAAAACAAGAATCTCAAAGGTTTTTTTGCAGGTATTTACCCAAACAGTTCAAATATCTTAGCACGCCTTAAATCACCACACAGACAGACATATTTTGGTCTTTTGGCTGACAGTATGCTTTAGCTTCAAACAGGTATTTCAGGAAGTTTCTGTCTGTCCTGATCAGGCGGCGGCGTGTACAGATGGCGTGGTTCCATAATGGCAGAGGATACTGAGAACTGAAATGGGATTGGAGGGACTGTACAAACAGATCAGACAGGCTTAGCCAGATGATATCTTGTAACCGTGCTACCAAACAGTCAGCCATCTTGTTGTTAGCCAATTAATGGCTCATTACCGGTTTAGCCAGAGCTGTGCCACCTCAAGTTACAAGGCCACCAAACCTGCACTTCACCCGCTGGCTCAAATCTGATTAGTTTCACCTAATTGGCACAGATCAGAGTACGAAGGATCAGGTTTCATGGGCAGCGAAAGAGATTGACTACTGGTGAAGAACACTGATCATCTTTCATGTTCTGAGAATTAAAACATTGTATGGTGGTGGTAGCATTCCTCCATTTTTTTTTATTTTAGGGCTCATTATTATCCATTGATATGATATCTTTCATGCCTGGAAACACAAGTTAGTGTCTGTGCAAGAGACCATGATCATTTTAATGCGGTCTCTACATAAATGCAGTATATTGTGTTGTGTATTTTTACTATTCAGATAGCGTAGATAGAAAAGCTGCAGAATCTGTGGAAGGTTCTGTGTTTCGTCATTGTGTGGATGTGGGTGCGAAGTATTAATGCCCCTTGCTTAGTTGTGTTGAGTATGTTTACGCAGAATTATATGTATGTGTGTCTGCACAAACACAGGTTGGTGTATCCTGTGTGTGTGTGTGTGTGTGTGTGTGTGTGTGTTTTCAAGGACAACTGGGACTCTTTTCTCTCTGATCAGTCAGTTCTCGTGTCTCTCTGCTCACTTAAAATGTTTGTTCTTCTTGCCAAACACGGGCCCATTAATAGTGCATGAATAAAAAAAAATGCAAGCAAATAGAGAGCAAAACAGCAGCAAACCACCGAACAGAAATGCTTAAATTTATTTAATATTCTCTGTGCTTTCAACCCAAGCTACTCGGCCTGTGCACTGTCTAGTCAAATCACAACAGCCGAGATTAATCTGGCACTTTAAGAAAAACATCATTGAGCTCTATATGTAAAACAACCTTTGGTTGTGCACTGTAGATATGTATATAGAAAGAGAGATGCATCTTCTTTAAGCATCTTTAAGGTGCTGTGGTGTTTATTTTGACTGTATTATAATACGAGAGACCATTCAGCTGTGTTTAACAGACAGGAAGCAACCGTCCATTTTTACACATCGCCTTTTGATCCTGGTTTGCACAAGGATAACTTTGTACTCTTTGTGTCTGATGTGTTTCATACTCCATGAAAACTATTCCCATGAGAATTTACAGTAGGCCCGAAGTGGAACTGGACGGACATGAACCGCACTAACTCAGAGCAAATCAGTGTGTTAGTGTTTAAGTGTGAGATAGGGAATGGCTTTGTCCAGAGGCCTTTCACATGGTAAGTGAGGGTAATCTCTTGGTATTACTATGGCCAAACCAACCATTTCTAATGGCAGACAGTGGGCTTTTGAAAACCATTAAAAGCTGGGTGGTGTGATAGACTCAGGGGGAAATGTCCCGGCAAGTGCTGAAATTCAGCTGGACAAAACACACACACGCACAGAAATGTCTTTATCTTTCTCAATCAAAAATACACATTCCCCCTACCTCTCTGAAACCCATACACTCAGCGCACGGGGCCAGGTGGTGTGGTTAGTGCCAGATCTTGCTCTCTGCTCTCCTGAGTGCAATTGGTAACCTGAGCTGCCTGTTTGAATAACTTGGTTATCCCGAAAGCTACCTCACTGCAGAGGCATCGTGGAACAGTGCCCAAAATACACTTTGTCTGAGCCCCTGATATTCACTGACTGCGTGATAAATATTGAAATTCAGCATTCAAAGTCACTTTCACTGTCTTGAGGTTGCATATCATAAAAAAAAGAGTAAAAACAAAAAGTTGGCTGGATAGCCTTAAGGGCGCAACTTGTATCCAAAATCTGTCATCAGAGTGTCACTCAGTGTAACGTTAGTCAGTGTGAATGTGTCAGCTGATGGGACGCGACAGGCAGGCCCAGGGCCTCCTCATTTAATTAGGAGCCTGCCTTGTTTTTTCGAACTCACAACCAAACCTGTCCCCCATCGTCTCCCAGGGCATTTTCTATTTTCTATTATTATATATTACATCATTCACTGTAAATTTAGCTTAGATGTTTTTTGCTATAGACACAACCTGTAGGAATCCAATGTTCTGCACCACATCGAGGCTAAAGTGTGTGTCAGGGTTTTACTCGCTATCAGTCACACTGTTGCAGTTGTGCTGCAAATCATTTTGTCACACCCTGCCCCCTCCCACCACCACCATCCTGTAAACCCTACGCAGCACCTTTCTTACGTAACCTTCGAGTCAAAAAGGTGCTTTAAAATGAATTTTGATGATAATGATACTTGCGAAAATTATAATTTTAATACTTTTATGATTGGTTGTTGTTGTTAGAGTCTTAACAGACATGACAAGTGAATACTAGTGTTTAGTTTACTTTAAAATCAAAAGATAATATATAATATTTGAGACTCCCACATGTGTTTTAAATAGTGTCAGATGTTCTGTGCCAAAATGTGGCACAGAGAAATTCATGCATTAAACAAATCTATTTCCTGACTTTATATTACTTGCCTGCTAAGACTATTATACCTAAAATATGACAAAGATCATGACAGTAATCAGTACAATATGCACCTTCTTTCCTTGCATTTGACCAAGGTGCTGGGTTTTGCTTCATGTCCAAAAACTGCTTCATGTAATTTTTATTTTATTTTTATAAACTTTATTTACTGTATACAAAAGTCAAAAGGCACTT